GGTTCTGCCAGCGCCACGGCCCTCTACTGGGTCGCGGACTGGGGGTTGGAGACCACCGCTCTACACCATTAGCCATATGAATTTAGGACATAAATACAGCACACAAATTTGGAACTATGTACCCACAATAATTTGATGCACAGCCTTGAAGAAATTATCATCAAAACCTTGCGGTTTGTTTTCTGATCCATGCTTGAATGCCCATAGCCTTTTTAAATATATATATATACTGTATTTATAGCATGCCCATCTAGTCATTCAACTACTCTGTGCGGCGTACAACATACAAAATAAACAGTTAAAATAGCATCATTATCAAGATTCAAAAGTCATTCAAGATGGAAAAAAATAAAGAAGATCAATAGTGCCCGGAGGGAAGGCAACATTTTGACAATAAGTGGGAGTGATGTCAACACCAGCAGCACATTGCACTAATTACTTTGGGAGGGGCAGTTTTGGGGTTCATTCAACTTCTGCATAATAAGACAAATGACAAAGTGACTCGCACCCTGATTTGAAAAGAATCTCCAGACTAAGGTAAGTTCCAGGCTTTGGGCATTTTCCCACTTGCCTCCAAAGCTGTGGAATTCTCTCCTCCAACACGTTCATATGGAACCAAATGTAGACAAGATTTGAAAACCTCTCTGTTCAACTTCAACCTCTCTGTTCAACTTCAACCGTAGGTGTTGGGTGTAGGGAGAGATCAGTGGCTGGTGTAATTTATTATAACTTTTAGCTGGTTTTTCAGCAGTTGTTCAGTCCTTTATCATTGCTTATTCTCAGGAATTTTATGTTGATATACAGGTATATTACATGCACATACACATACAAAATATTAAGTTCTTAAAGGTTGTGTTTACATCTTTGTATATCATTAATTTTATTGGAATACACTCTAGTGTAGATTGCAATATAAATCATCATCATCATTTGTTTAATTAGCAGAAATCTGTTGCTGCTCGTGACATCATTCTCAAGAGGATGTGGGCTTATATATTTTATAATTGTGAGATGGCTTCTGTGCACATACTTTCTTTTGTTTATACAAAATAAGTGATTTCTGTTTTCATTCATTTCATTAGAAATAGTTCAGATCAAATCAAATCTGAACTATCTCTAAAGGCAAAAAAATTGAAACTGAAGCTTTTGTACTTTAGGCTCATCATTAGAAGGCAAGACAGAAAAGGAAAAGACAGTAATTTTGGGAAAGGTAGAAGGCAGCAAAAAAAGAGGAAGACCAAAAATGAGATGGGTTGACTTCCTAAGGCAATAGTTCCCAACCTTGGGTTCCCAGATTTCTTGGACTACAACTCCCAGAAATCTTGGCCGAGATAGCTACTGGTGAAAGCTTCTGGTATTTTTAGTCCAAGAACATCTGGGGACCCAAGATGAGGATAGTACAATTTGGAGATCACTCATTTATAGGGTTGCTATAAGTTGGAGGTGACTTGACATCACATAACAAGTGAGAACAAATAGTTTTCATGCTGCAGTCTTATGAGTGCCTACCGGGGAATCAACGATGCTAAACAGAGTAGATATTACATCTTATGTTTGTTAATGCCAGCCAGATAGCAAATGTTTTTTCTCTAGCAGGCAGTCTGAATTACTTGAATTATGAATTAAATCAATAAATAAAATTCTTCTATTAAGGAGCAAAAACAGATGTTATAAGCAAGTGTATATTAATCCTTGATAGGTAGGTACTGTAGATAGGGAGAGAGAGAGAGAAAGTCTGCATAATAACGTTGTTATGTGCTATTGACTGAAATCCAGGAATAAGTTGCAACTGGAGTATGTCCATTGAATCTGTAAATTCTATGGAAATTCTATGCATTCAGTGGGCCTACTCTTACTACTAGATTTTAGCCATTAAGCTGCTTCTGATTTATGAAATGACTTGAGACTTCAACTTATTTCTGACTTATGGCAATCCTGATAGAGTTTTTGAGACATTTGATGTGTTTTGAGAAGTGGTCTTCATGTCTTTTCATGACTGATCAGGAATTTGAACCCAGGTCTTTTGACTACTAGCCCAGCATACTATCCATTGCATCACACTAGCTCTCAAGATAATGTATTGTATTACTATAATAATATGCGTTAGAAATTGATACTATGTTAACATAAATCAATGTGCACATTAACTTCCCCCTCTCATTTCTGTCTAGATAAAATGTGTTATTTCATTGGCTTTAAGAGATCTGGAAATTTCACTTTTTTAGTTGTGTCTACAACAAGTTCTGTTTATGTTAAAATTTCTAAATTGTCTATAATTTTCTTGAGAGAATAATTTATTGCATGCTCTCAGAATCATGGGGCTGAACATGGACTTTTGAACTTTACAAAAAAAATCCATATAGATTTACACACACAGTGGGTGTGTTTGCACAAACCCTGGTTTGTTATGAATGAGCTGCAGGCTGGTATGTGCTGCTCAATTGCTCCTGCTTGTTGTAGGAGCAGCTAAACAAATAACAGCTTTGCTCCACAGATGCTTTATTGTGTTGTGCAAGTAGAGAGTTTTCCCACCTCCAGTTTGTTCCCTTGCATAGAGAAAAACATATCCAGGGGTTATTCTCTGCTTCCTTCTTTGAAGGGAAAAGAACCTTTGGTTTGTTGGGAAGAAACAAACCAGAATTACCAGGCTTCCAGATGCTGTGTGTTTAGTTGCTCCCACTAGAAACTTCGGCTTGTTATGAATATAGAAACAGTTGAGTGGTATAAAGAGATGAGCACGAATTAAAAAACAAATCACCAAATTGATAAAATTGCTAATTCATAGCTTTGTATGTGCCCAACGAATGAGTTTTTAGCAATTTTTGTTTCGTTTGGCTATAAAGTGCCCTCCCCAGGCACCTAGAAACACCAGAATTATAGGGAAGCGTCTTCTGATTCTCCTCTACAATACCTTCAAATTTGATGAAGATTGAGTTTCCCCAAGCCAACTGTTAAAAGGCACTTTCCGACGGGGGGGGGGATACACCCACTTTGTGGGTGTATAATTTGGATGTCTGAAACCCAGTCTTCACCAGACCTGGAGAAATTGTAGAGGAGAGTCAGTAGAATTTTCCCTGTGATTGTACGTTTGTGATTCATTCACCTTGATGAATCACGCGTCAAAATGAATTGCAATTTTTCTGATTCGTGCTCATTTCTAGTGGCATGCATCAGTATGCCATTCCTTATGACAAGCCAGAGTTCCCATGGAATCATTGCTTGTTGTGTTGTATGAGTGAGTGAATGTAGTTTGGGCACTAATAAAGTAGAACACAGAATTGAAGGACTCTGCATCTCCAGATGTTTTGAGTAGCTTTATTTTTTCATAAAATGAAGTAGTAGTGTACAGAGAGGAGTTCTGAAAATATTTATTCATCCAACATTTTAGGAAGCTGTTTTAACATGGTGAGATTACTTCTCTGTCTACTTCATGGGTAGGTATCATGCAGCTCATTTTGCAGCTCGCGAGTCCATCCAGAGCCCCTTAGTCTATTTTCATCTAGCAGACGTCCAGGAGCAGTGGTTTTCAGCTGAGAATTGGAGTTCTTCAGTTTCCTCAATAGAAATTGGATGTGCCCATCTTGACACTTCCAGATTGTTTTTCATATGTTTATTTTCAGCCATTTTCAGTCCCAGTACACATCAAAGTGGGGACGTGGTGGCACTGTGGGTTAAACCACAGAAGGCTCTGTGCTGCAAGGTCAGAAGACCAGCAGTCATAAGATCGAATCCACTTGACGGAGTGAGCTCCCGTCACTTGTCCCAGCTCCTGCCAACCTAGCAGTTAGAAAGCATGTAAATGTGAGTAGATAAATAGGTACCACCTCGGTGGGAAGTTAACAGTGTTCCATGTCTAGTCACGCTGGCCACGTGACCATGGAAACTGTCTTCGGACAAACGCTGGCTCTACAGCTTGGAAATGGGGATGAGCACCGTGCCCTAGAGTTGGACACAACTCGCCTAAATGTCAAGGGGAATCTTTACCTTTTACACATCAAAGTGGACTCTACAATGAGAATTTGGTCCCCACTAGTCCCGTGATCTATCACAATATAATCTACTCTCAATTGCCATTTGTTTTCCAGGTGCTCAGATGGGGATCTTTCCCATCACTTGCTGTTTTCTCCTCTTAACTGGAGAGGTCAGGGTGAACCTGGAACATTATACTTGCTTCTTCTCTACCTCCTAGCTACAGTCTAACCTGTATTCTGTTATGCCTTCCAGTCATAGCAGGTTATGCAGAAGAGGAAAAATAGGGTTAATATTAGTAAAAGAATACCATGAATTAAGGTCTTTGAATAAGAAGAAAATAAAATCCAGTGGTGAGAAGCAATGTTACTGCAGCAAACTGTAATTCCTATATTTTAGCCAACACCATTCTTTTTAATGTTCCCCTGCTCTTAGCTTTCTACTTGCTTGTAAACTGGATAAAAAGATCCTTAGAAGGTATATGTGCCTTTAATAATCTTAAATTACACACGTGTGGTGTAGTAACAACCTATGACTCACCTTTCTTCAGTTTCAGTAACAAAAAAATTGTTCAGCTTGTTTCATCCAAAGTTTCCCCTAAAGTCAAGTGCTAGTAAAAGTCTGTCTGACATGTCTTCTTAGCAGAACAGAGCCTTAGCCAGGAGTCATTCCTGACCTCATCTAAGGGAAAGATACATGTGATGAGAAACCTTATATGAATTCTTAATCTACCCATTGCTTCTGAATGTATTACATTCACTCTTGTGTTCATTTTGAATTATTTAAATAAACTCGGAGGATGATATTGAGTGATGTCTGCTTATTTGAGACAGTTGCGTTTTGTTGGCTGAAATCCTGTTGCACATCTCTGTATTGACTACCATGACATTGCCACTCTTTTTAGGAGCAGAACATAGTTCTAAGAAAGACAAGACACAGCTTGTCATTAATAATACAGTACTTTCTTGGAGGAAGCTGTATGGATATTGGTTTCCCAGATTGTGCCAACCAGTACAACATTTCTTTTACAGACCCCTCCGATAACCTGAGAGAGATCCTCCAAAATGTGGCCAAACTGCAAGGTGTTTCTAATATGAGAAAACTAGGCCACTTGAATAATTTTACCAAGGTAAGTATTATGCTAACTGCTTTTGGCCATAATAAATAATATATAGCCTGTAAATTAGAAGAATTTGTGTGTAGCATCTGGAAATATTTAAATAAAAAAAACACTGTTGTATAGTATAAGATTTGGTAATCTTCCTTTTGTACATGTTTGTGGCAGCAATTATAATATTAAATAATCACTTGTGTCTTTTGGTTAAAATCCTTTACTATTTATAAATATCCATAAAACGTAACTTATAGTCCTTGGACTTTCGGTATCACAGAGGTATTTTATCTGGTAAATAATTACGTAACTCTCTCATAGTTACACTGTTATATTGTAAGTTCTATTTGGTCCTATTACATATTTTAAAGTTATATCTTTATTTCTGCCTGAGGTACATGTTGTTGTATGAGATCCTATTACATATTTGGTTCTGTCCCTTTTTGGACCCTGTCAGCCCTACTGTCTTCATCTCATATTGTCTGGCTCCATATCATAGAAAAGTGAAGTTGGAAGGGGCCTACAAGGCCATCAAGTCCAACCCCCTTCTCAATGCAGGAATATAATCAAAGCATATCTGCCAGGTGATTATCCAATTTTTTCTGCTGCTACTGGGTCGCAGACTGGGGGTTGGGGACCCCTGTTCTAAGGTATTAGCTATTCCGCCCAATTTGGTATCATCTGCAAATTTGACAAACATTCCCTGCACTCCCTCATCCAAGTCATTAATAAAAATATTGAAGAGCACCAGGCCCAGGACTGAACCTTGGGGTGCCCCAATTGTGACCTCCTCCCATTTAAAGAAGGACCCATTAATCATCACCCTCTGAGTATGATTCTGTAGTCAATTGAGTCTCCACCTGAAACTTGATCTACCCAGCCCACACCTAGTTAGCTTGCTAATCAGGAGATCATGGGGCACTCTGTCAAAAGCTTTGCTGAAGAGAAGATATACTATCAGGGAGGTGACCTGATCAAAAAATGAAATGAAATTAGTTTAGCAGGATTTGGCATTGAAAAATTTGTGTTGGTTTCTAGTTATTCCTGCATTATCATTTCATAGTTGTTAGCTGGTGACCAGTTTGTTGTTGTTGTTTAGTCGTTTAGTCGTGTCCGACTCTTTGTGACCCCCGGTGACCAGTTTAGACACTTTCTAATAGTAGACTACACATAAATATAGGCGTATAGTGAAAATGAATTACTTTTGTTTTGCCAGAGGATATGGAATTCCAGTGGTGGGGGAGGATGTTAGAATAATTTGAAAATTATCATTTTATATATACATTGGACTATTGTAAGGCCTTTAACAAAAGAACAGAAGAACTGAGCCTCTCCTGCACATCCCCTGTCAGTATGTCAGAAATCTCAGGAATGTCGTTTTGGATAGAGATATGTTGCAGTATATCAGCTGAAAGAATTCCCATTCATACACAGAAGTACAGTATCGTAGTACTTGAATAAAATGCACTTACTGTAATTTAGAGAACGACCTTATGGTTTTAAATAATAATTATTGAATGCTATCTAGGAATAAGTAAATATTCCAACGGACTGTTTATGGAGGTTGAATAAACAAATTATTAAAAAGCTATCTCTTCAAAATTCAGTCATCAAGTTTCATTTTGAAATCAGTGTATTATTCTTTCAATACAAAATGCGTTGGTAGATAATTCAAAATAATGTTTTTGTATGAAATGGCCCTGGTGTCTTGGTTCATCTTTTATGATAGACAAAGTTTGTTTACATTTTGAATTGTAATTATTTTATACAAGTTAGGCTTGCAAACAGAATGTTGGATTGTATGTGCATCTAAGAAGAGACATGCATTTATGCATTGTTCTGTTGTATTAGAGCCAACATTTCTTAGAGGCCCCTGTTATGTCACCAGTTTAAATAAGATAATTCTCTCTCTGCCTTTGTATCCTGTTTTTCCTGGAAATATTATTATGCCAAAGAACAGAAATATTCCTTGATGAAATTTATACCAGAAATGGTAATGTATCACCTGTAAAACTTATTTTTCATAAGTTTCCAGGTATCTAGGTACACTTCTTCAGATGAAACACATACGTTTGTGCATGCACGAACAGGCACGCACAAACGAACACATACACTCGTGCACACACACAAAAATTAGAAACAAGTTAGTCTTACAGGTGTGATATTACCATTTCTGATATGAATTGTTACAGCAAAGTAGTGTGGCTGCCTACTACATTATGTATTCTTTGAAGGTGAACTCTCACAGAAAGTATTTTCCCAGCAAAGCTGTGTGAGTAGGAGATTGTAAGGAAAGTTTTATAACCTTTCTTTGCCTTTGCCTATACTGGCAAGAAGGCAGCACAAATTGATTTTGCTGTCACACTATTATATTCCACATGTGTGTGCAAACACACATTTGCTGCATACGTACATATTGATCTGAAGTGTGTCATGTTTGAAATGCACAACATTCAGTACCAAGAATATATATGCTTGGAACTTATATTTTGTTAGATACATTTTGCAATACGGGATGTGGTGGCGCTGTGGGCTAAACTGCAGAAGCCTGTGCTGCAGGGTCAGAAGACCAAGCAGTTGTAAGATCGAATCCACGCGACGGAGTGAGCTCCCTTCGCTTGTCCCATCTTCCACCACCCTTGTGGTTCAAAAGCATGCACATGCAAGTAGATAAATAGGTACCACCTCGGTGGGAAGGTAACAGCGTTCCGTGTCTAAGTCGCACTGGCCATGTGACCACGGAAGATTGTCTTCGGACAAAACGCTGGCTCTATGGCTTGGAAACGGGGATGAGCACCGCCCCCTAGAGTCGAACACGACTGGACAAAAATTGTCAAGGGGAACCTTTACCTTTTATATTTTGCAAAAAGAAATATAATATGGGGAGAAAAACCTTTTGAAGTTTTGTGTAGTACCCTCAGTGTTCTGCATGATGCAGTTGACTTTTTAGCCCCCAAATGAAATCTTTGCTAAGGGAAACGGCTGAGGAAACTAGTGACATGACCTGCCAAACATACAAGTGTCACATTTGACATGTATTTATTTATTTATTTATTTATTCATTCATTCATTCATTCATTCATTTATTCATTTATTCATTTATTTATTGAATTTATAACCCGCCTATCTGGCCCACCGGACCACTCTAGGCGGCTTCCAAATATAAAATCAAATAATAAAACATAGACAAATACATAATAATCAAACAAGAACAGCAGTAAAAATAAAAAGGAAAAGTAAGAAAAA